GCCGCCTGCTCTCACGCGGCCCCGCCCCGGCTCCTTCGCGGCCCCGCCGCCTGCTCTCGCGCGGCCCCGCCCCGGCTTCTACGCGGCCCCGCCCCGGCTTTCACGCGGCCCCGCCGACAGCTTTGTCGCGGCCCCGCCCAGGCCCTTACGCGGCCCCGCCGCCTGCTCTCACGCGGCCCCGCCCCGGCTCCTTCGCGGCCCCGCCGCCTGCTCTCGCGCGGCCCCGCCCCGGCTTCTACGCGGCCCCGCCCCGGCTTTCACGCGGCCCCGCCGACGGCTCTGTCGCGGCCCCGCCCAGGCCCTTACGCGGCCCCGCCGCCTGCCCCCGTCGCGGCCCGGTCGCCTCCTGACGGCCCCGCCGTCCCTTCGTGACGGCCCCGCCGTCCCTTCCTGACGGCCCCGCCGTCCCCTCCTGACGGCTCCTGCCGTCCCCTTCTACCGGCCCCGCAACTGCACCTGCTGGCCCCGCCGCTGCACCTACCGGCCCCCACCACCCACCCCCCCTTTTCCCGTCGCCCGTCGCGGCTCCTTCGGGGGCCGCAGCAGAGGGGTGGCAGGTGTGTGGCCTCCCCTGCTTCTCCTCCTCCTTCATCGCTCACCTGCAGCAGCCGAGCCGCCCCACCGCCGAGCCGCCCTGCACCCGAGCCGCCCAGCAGCCGAGCCGCCCTGCCGCCGAGCCGCCGGGTCGCTGAGCTGCTGAGCTGCAGTTGCTGCCGAGCCGCCCTGCCGCCGAGTCACCGAGCTGCTGAGCTGCAGTTGCTGCCGAGCCGCCTTGCCGCCGAGCCGCCCGAGTCGCCCAAGTCGCCTGAGCCGCCGAGCCGCCGAGCTGCCGAGCCGCTGAGTCGCCGAGCCTACTCTTCCCACCACTGGTGAGCTCTTGCCCTGCTAGCACGCTCACGTCGCCTGCTTGCCTGCCTGCCTGCCTTTTGGCTTGCCTGGCTGCCTGCCTTCCTGCTGCTAGTCCTGCTCCTGCTTCTACTTGCGGAGCCAGATGCAGCCCCAGCGACGCCTGCGTGAGTCCCTCACGCCCCAGCAGCTGCGTGAGTGGTACGCTGTTTGGGGCTGTAGGGGTGGCGACGCTACTCCTACTTCCACTCCTGCTGCTTCTACTCGTGGTGGCGGCCAGATGCAGCTCCCGCGACCCTCTCGCGTGTCTCTCACGCCTCGCCAGCTTCGTGAGTGGTACGCTCAGAGTGGAGGGTCTCTCAGTGCTGTTCGCTGCTCTTACGTGATTCGCACTGGTACTCGGACTGGTCAGCCTTGTTTGCTTATTCTCACAGACTGACCTGCTGAGAAAGGGGCTTGAGTACACGTGGGGGGAGAAAGAGCAAGCTGCCTTCTCGGCCCTCAAAAACATTTTGTGCTCACCGCCCGTGCTCCACATCGCAGATCTGCACCGTCCGTTCGAGCTCGTCACCGACGCAAGTGACATCGCTGTGGGAGCAGTACTGTTGCAGGATTTCGGGAACGGCCTCCAGCCAATCGCGTACGAGTCCCGCAAGCTGCACCCGCCCGAACGCAACTACCCGATACACGACCGCGAAATTTTGGCGATCGTGCACGCGTTCAAGGTTTGGCGGTGTTACCTGACTGGCGCCGACGTGACACTACGGACAGACCACCGATCACTACAGTACCTACGCGCCCAACCAAATCTCAATCCGCGACAGATTCGCTGGTTGGACTACCTCGAGTCCAACTTCCACTACACGGTTACGTACGAGAAAGGCGCATCCAACATCGCCGATGCACTCACCCGTCCTACCGCCCAACTCCATGCCATCCTACTCGCCCAAACCTACCCGCTTTTAACAGGCCTATTCACCCACGGATACCGCACCGACCCATTGTTCACGACCGGAAATTCACAGCAACTGGCAGAAGCTAAAAGAGTTTATTACGTAAAAACAGGCACCAACCGCATCTGGGTACCCGCGTACTCACTACTGAGGGAGCTGCTACTGCAGGAGGCACACGACGGAATTACCTTAGGACATTTTGGGGTAAAAAAAATGCGACAGCAACTGCAGCGGTATCACTACTGGCCGAAGCTGTTGACCGACGTGCAGCAGCACGTGGGCTCGTGCCCCACGTGTCAGGTGATGAAGAGCTCGAGGAAGCGGAAGGCGGGTCAATTGCAGCTGATACCACCGCCCGAGCGCGCCTGCCAGCAGGTTACCATGGACTTCGTCACAGGGTTACCTTCGAACACTGGGGGTAACGACGCGGTGATGGTCGTCGTTGACAGGTTGACGAAGATGGCACACTTTGTCAAACTTATATGCTATAGTCTGTGTAGGCTGTGGTGGGGTAGACTATATGGGGTACAACATTTCTAGGTTTTCCTACTTGTACCCACCTTCTTGCTACTTCATTCATTTCTCATTCTTCACACACTTCGCTACGTGCAAAAAGTCGATCTTAGCCGAGGAGACCACTCGCCTGTTCATCGCAGCCGTTGTTCGCCTGCACGGGATACCAGCAGAGATTATCAGCGACAGGGACACGACGTTCACCAGCAACTTCTGGAAGAACCTCTAGGAGCAGTTCGGGACCAGGCTACAGTTCAGTTCGTCGTACCACGTCGAGACCGACGGTCAAACGGAGCGGACGAATCAGACGATGGAGCAGTTGATTCGTGCCACGCGCGACGACCCCACGACTTGGGAGCAGCAGCTGCCGCTGATCGACTTCGCGTACAACAACGCCACGTCAGCGACGACGCAGCAGTCCCCCTTCTACCTGAACTACGGGCAAAATCCTACAGTGCCCATGACGCCGAGACCGGACAGCCCAACACCACGTGCACACCAATTTGCCGAAATTCTGCAAGCTGCCTGCACCAGGGCCGCAGAAGCAATTAAAAAAGCAAACGTCATCGCTAAGCGCAACGTTGACCGCCACCGCCGCCCAGTCACATACCAATCAGGGGATTACGTGCTGCTCGACACGCAAAATCTGCGACTGCCCGACGTACCGAAACTTCGACCGCGCTACTGTGGCCCATTCCAAATCAGCCACATGATCACGCCAGTAACCGCGCACCTACTGTTACCGAGCGACTGGTACATCAGCCCATCGTTCCACGTCAACCTACTTCGCCCATACATCCCAACCACCAGCCAACTGCCTCGTCACCGCCCGCATTCCATGACTCGCCCTTCATCGGAGCCGATCATCGAGCTCGAAAAAATCATGAGCCATCGGATTTGCCACCCCAAGGAAATCAGGAGGATTGAATTCCTCGTTCGCTCGAAGGACCGCACGCCAACTGAAGATAGCTGGGTGCCCCTGGCCAACATTGAAAACCACCCTGGCCTGCAAGTGTACCTGAGGAGCCAGGGATTCAGCGATATACACGCACTCGCGTAGCGGAGGGGGCTTCTTGAGGGGGGGGTAGTGTAAGGAATTTTCTCGGCATTCCTTACGGAGCCCAACTACATCGCGTACAGCAACAGCCGTTGTTCGCCCGTTACTGCTAACGGGACTTCGCCAACTTCGCGCGCACTGTTTTGCCAAACCTCGCACTGCTGGCCCGGCCGTGTCGGCCTACGCTTCGGGACTAGCCCGAGCCTCGCTGTCAGCGTAGCGCTAGCTAGCTCGCACGCATCGCGTTACCGTTTGCATGTTCGCGTATAAATGTTCGCTCATGCCTTCGCTCACATCTTTGTACTCGTTTGACACCTTAGTGCAATTCTCGCTACCTCCATTCATTGCACCCGTAACAAATACGAAAACAATCAATAGGAATACGAGATTTTGTGGATTATCGTAGTAATAAAGATGCAGAAATTGCCCATACTAAAATGGGTATCTAATTAAATATTCTGAGATATTATCGGTCACCTTCACAGCAAATAAAATTGTGTTTGCAAGCTGACCTCATCTTTGTTCGCATTTTTTTTTTTGGTTGTAACTGTCAAAGGTCCACTGGTGATCCCCGATTGATCCTAGGGAAGGGTTACAGGCACGTTGGCCTGGGGGGTTATGGGCGCACTGACAAGCCCCCGCTACTTAACAAGCCCTTTTATCCCAATGGTCTAGTGGTTGGGATTCTGACATGGTATCAGAGCGAAGGTCTCGGGTTCGAATCCCGGTGTATACACTTCGGGCTTCCCAGTGCGGGGGGGTGTCAGAGGTCCACTGGTGATCCTCGATTGATCCTAGGGAAGGGTTACAGGCACGTTGGCCTGGGGGGTTATGGGCGCACTGACCCGCTACTTAACAAGCCCTTTTATCCCAATGGTCTAGTGGTTGGGATTCTGACAGTTACTATATTATCATAACATAGATACATCCGCAGTTGTAACTGTATTCTTGGAGGGCCTAGGCCGCGCCTCTCTGGGCGTTGCACTCCCCTCCCTACCAGTTTACGGGGGCTGATGAAAAGTGCGCGGGTTGCGCCAAATCGAGAGAAACAGGCCCGACCAACTTGCTGGCCCATCATCATTGCAGATACCACGTAACATCTTCCTTTCGTCACCTGCCACCTGGCGCCACCAATCCTTCCCTGCGCCTATGTCCGCCTACCCTGCAGCTGCCACCCTTCGTCGTGATGCCACCACCACCCTCGCATGCGTCATGAAATCCAACATTGCACAGCGTCCCACCTTCTTCCGATCAAAAGGGGTCGCACGCCACACCGCATCACAGCGCGCCAACCAGATCCGCCTGAGTATCGCCGCTGTCAAAGTCATCTAAGGAAAGCCCGACTTTGTGCCCCCATGCTCATAAAGCAGGTCGCCCAGCGAGTCCATGGGCTTGCCCGGATTCATCATCTGCAGGGACCTCTTAAGCGCGCCGATCACAGGCTGTATTGCTAGGCAGCTGTAAAGGCAATGCGCTAGGGTTTCCTCACCCCCACAGTGCGGGTAAGCAATCCTGTTCTGGAAGAAATCCAATCTCCCCCCCACCTGGAGGTTCATGCTGTGCACCCTGAGAAGCACATCCCTCGCCTTGAGGGGGACACTTACCAAGTCCCGTGTGTCGATAGCCCTCTTCTAATGTATCTTCTTGCCCCAATCCTCTTCCCACTCCGCCTGCCTCCAAGAACGCCCCGTCGACTTAGAGAGCATAGCCCGTATCTTGCGCAGCGGCACTAGTTCCCCGCCATCAAAGAGTCCAGGCTTCCCTAGTATCCTTGCCTTCGGGTCCCCTACTGTACCAAGCACCCTGCCTTCCCGGACCGCCAGAGGCTGTAGGCTACAAGCCTCAAAACATGTCTCCCTCCGTCCTCCTGGGACGTACAACTTCCCTTCCGCGTCCGTCGCCATGTACTCTGCGACAATCTGTGCACCGTCAATTCCCTTCATCGCCCACGGAGGCCCCGTAGGCTGGCCTCGGAGGACGTATCTCGCCACGCCTGACGCCACTACTACTGCCGCCGCTGTTGTTGGCTCTTCAACCAGCTTTTTCCATTTCGGCGGGATTGCCTTGTAGGCTTTCCGCGCCATAATTGCCGCTTCCTTGCACCCTTGTTCCACCGCCAGCTCCTCTTCGCCCTTCACTTCCCTACTCCCCCCTGGGCCGTCTGTGAGCAGGTCCCGAATCCTCGTTCGGATGAGAGCCGCCGTACCCTTCTGATGCTCAAGAGGGCTCGCCCCCCGATGCATTATGTTTCTATTGAAACAAATGAACTCCTCCTCCACCTCCCATCTGCTCGCAGGCGACGGCAGCGACGCGAAAGGCGACTTCCAGAAGACTTTCACTGCTGCCTTCCACCTTTCACTCCCTTGCTGCCAGTGCTTGATTGCTGACGGATGTGCGTACAGCGTGGCCCACCCTTGCGGGAAACCAGCCGCTTCCTCCGCCAACCACCGCCGTGTGCCGTCCGGCTCGCGCAGGAGCTTTCCCACCCTGCGGACAGCCAGCCCGTCCAGGCAGAGTTTCGGGTTGAGCTGGCCCAAACCCCCATCCTTCCGCGGGAGACACGCAAGGTAGGCGCTCCAGAGGATGAAGATTTTTTCCTCCGCAACTTCTCCGCCGAGACAAAAGCGTGGCAGAGCTTCCTGATCTTCTCCCACACCTCATACGCTGGTGAGTACACCTGGGCTTGAAACATAAGCACGGGTAGAACGTAGCAGCTGATCACCGCTACCCTCGCTGTCGTCGTGAGATATTGTGCTTCCCACTTCCTTAACTCCTCCTTTATCCTCTCGTGTGCCTTTTCCCAGGATGGGCCAGCGTCGCCGTTGGGTGTTATCCAGACCACTTGTACAACATGTCTTGTGGCGCTGCAGTCCCTCAGTTGCATCCCAGGGGAACCACCACCGACTTGTCACAATCAACCTTCAAACCTGACTACTTGCCAAACATGTCCAGCACCTCTACCACCTCCTACAGTTGACCTTCTCCGCGCAGCAGGAAAGAGGTGTCATCCGCGTACCCCACATACGAGAGCGGCGTCTTCCCTTCCGGCCCGACCCCCAGTCTCCTGCGCTGCGTCTCTCTGCACAGCGGTTCCAGCGCGCAGAGGAAGAGGTATGGTGCAAGCGGGCAGCCCTGTCTGACACCCCTATGCATCTCCACCTTCTAGCTCAGCCATCCATTAATAATGACTCGCGTCCCTGCTTCTTCGTGCAGGCCCCTGGTCCACCTGACAAACCTCTCCGGTATGCCCAGTTCTGACATCACTCTGAAGAGGAAATCCCTCGAGACTGTATCGTATGCCTTCTGAAAGTCTACCAGCAGCAACAACCAGTCTTTGCTCCCACCGTTGGGCGCCTCCACTGCATCTGCAACCACCGACACCGCGTCTGCCAGGCTCTTTCCCGGCAAGAAACCGTGTTGCTCCTTCGACAGCACCTTCCCCAGCACCCTTTTCAGCCTTGTCGCCATGATTTTCGTAACCCGTTTATACATGACTGTAAGTAGGGTGATTGGCCGGTAATTACCCAGCTGGTCTGTATCGCCCTTTTTGTGCAGTAGAACTGTCACAGTAGTTGAGATGCCCTCCGGCATCTTCGCCGTCTCCACAAATTCCCTGACGAAACCCCTCACGTGTTCCTTGAGCGGCTCCTAGTGCAGAATGAAAAACTCCGCCGGCAGACCGTCCTGGCCCGGAGATTTCCCCTTTGGCAGCCCCTCCTTGACCTTCTGTCCATTCTGCACCTAGCGACGCCGCATCCGCGACTGAAAATTTCGCGCCTTCCGAGAAAGTCTCCCAGTCCACGGCCTCCTCCGGCGGCACTTCTTTGAAGGCGGCCCTGAAATGATCCGCTGCTGCCTGCAGCACTTCCTTCGTCCCCAGATACGCCCTCCCCTGGTGAGTAACCTTCCGTATCAGCGTCCGCTTCTTCCGCACCTTGATCTTCGCTAAGAGGTACGGGTACTAGTCCACTAGATTAGACGATTTCTACCTCAGGGACAAGTGATTCCATTTTATTTCATGTGTTTTGCACATAGTTGACCATACCGGCTCCGCCTCGCACGCTCACTATGGATGCTCATACTTCCAATCAAACTTACCAGTGTTCACTTTGATTGGCCCGCGGCATTGGATGTTGTTCACGCCGTACTAGTCCACTAGATTAGACTGCTTTCTACCTTACAGACAAGTGATTCCATTTTATTTCGTGGACCTCCCCGTCCAGCTCCACCCTGATGCCCGCCAGCACCTGCATCCTATCCTTGCAGCTCTGCAGATAGGCCTCCAGGTGTGCCTCTTTCCGCACCAACTTGCTCTGCGCCCTTTTATTCCCGGGGTATCTCATGACTTTGTGCCGTAGGAACTCCACTACACGCTCGAGATACGTGACCGTTGCCTTCACCCTCTTCCTTTCTTCTCGCGAGTAGTCCCTCAGCCCCACGCTGAGCAATCTCAGTTTTTTCCTGAGGTCAATCTTCTCTGCCCCAATCCGCTGGAGTATGCGAGCTGTCACCACACTCACTCCTCTCCTCTGTGCCTGCCTCGCTTGCATTCTCCACATCCCAAGGCCCCGGTCATCTGGTTCCGCCACTGCTAGCGCAAACTTGATGCCGAACCAGTGGTCTGATAACCCCCTTGGCACCTTAACATGCCGCGCGTCAGCCAACAACCAACAAGCGAGAAGGATATCAGGCCCTGGTCAATCCGCGTGCTCGCCATCGACGCCTTGTCCCGGAACGTGTACTCCGGTTTGGTCGGATGCACCACCCGGAAAGCGTCTCTGAGATCTACCGCTCGCTAGAAGTTCAGGAGCCTCTGATTCTCATTCCCCGATCCCGACTTTGATGATCCAGATCTGGGTCTTCCACCAGGTTCAGATCCCCTATTACCACCAGATGCACTGCTGCTGGCTGGGCCTGGATGAAAGGCGAAAGGCAGTTCCGGAAGAAAACCCCTCTGGCGCACGCCTGCGCGGGCAGGTACATCGCCACCAGCCTGAAGTTGATCCGCGGGCAGGCCACTGTGACCCCCACTAGCCTGCCTAACAGGTGAGTGATCATGTCTGTAAGCTTAACCTCCTCGTTGAAAGATAGCACCGCTACCCGCCTTGCTCTGTCGCTATTTCCCACCACCGCCGCCGATGATGGCTTTAGTTCCGTCCAAAAATTATGGTCCTCTTTGATTCTTGTGTCCTTCAGCACCACCACGTCCGCGACTGTTTTTATCCATTGCGCATTCGTCGTTCGTTTGCCGTTGCTTCCGAGGCCGTTGACATTGACCTCGCACACTGTAAGGTTGTTGGTGTTGTTACCCATTAATCCACTGAGACAGAGCCCCTTCGCATCCACGGGCTTGGTACAAGGCAACTGCATCTACACACAAGTGCATACATCTTCCTGGTGAGGCACAGCACTCCTCCACACACCAAGGATTATTCTCCCGCCGCGACAAACATCCCTGACTCCACTTATTACCACCAACTGTGCTCCTTTGCGTTGCTAATGCTGCAGGCCGAACTCCTTGCGAACTGGGATAAAGTTCATCATCCCTTTGCTTTTCCTGCTTGCCGCGTCCCCCTGCAGCAGAGCCGTGCAGTGCTGGACCGACTTCACATGCGCCATCACCTGTGAGAAACTGGATCCATAAGCCTTGCCGCACGCCTCCTTCACGCAGAGCCAGTCCTCCCGGCTCCCTCCAGTGGAGACCAGCACCACCGCTGGGTCGCGTAAGATCCTTTTCACCCGAGCGTCGAGGGGCAGTGACGCAGCTGCTCACGGACGATGTGGAGAAACAGGAGTCAACAGCGGCCGACGCCGACCAGCAGGGACCGTCAACCAGCCCGTGCGAGGTCGCGACTGCCTGAGATAAAAGGTTAGTGCACAAATGTTTACCGTTGATCGCGTGCAGACGCTGAAGCGTCAGGTTCCATTTTCCAATGCTCTCCTGACGCTCCGTAACAAAGTCGTCATGAAACTTCATCATATGCATGCCGTTGCAAAATTCACAGGAAAGCGACGGATAATGAACAAGAAGTTGTTTGTGGTGCACCGAATCTGTCAACAGGTGCCACCAATGATACTTATCCCCCGGGTGCCCCTTAACCAGGCCCCTTATCTTGTCCGTGTCTGTACCCGTCACAGGATCCACCACCCGATGAAAGGCAGCCCCACTGAGGAAAGGAGTACGACCGCGCTTCTCCAAAACCGTCTTCACCAAATACTCATACACCATCTCCGGCGTAATCGCAGCCGGGACACTTTTCAGCAGCACTTCGATTGAATCCGGGTTTGTCGCACGCTTGTGAGTATAGGTAGGATTCTCGGGATGCTGCCAATCCAGAAAGATCTTCTTCTCATCCAACATCTTGTGCTCAATCCGGCGACACCACACGTAGTTAGCGTCCGACGCCTGCAGAAAGGTAACTTGCAGTCTTCCGTACCGCTTTTTCGACAGCCACGCCGGCAACAGGACCTGGCACCTCGTCGTCGTCAGGACATGTGCCGAGATGCTCCTCCTCCACAGCGCAAGCAGACCCTTGACCGTATCAATGGTGCGCGGGACCTCCTCCTCGTACTTGATTGGAACCAGAAGCGTGATCGAGAAACCCGCACGCGCAGCAATCTCCCCAGCCTTCACAGGATCGAAGCGTTCTTCCGGGTTGTCACTGAGATATCCATCATCTTCCTCCTCTTCTTCTTCCTCCCCGACCACAGGAGCCACAGGATCAACAGCCGGTGGTGTAACCTCAGTTGCTTCGTCCTTCTCTTCTGCAGCACTGTCCTCCCCTCCTCCAGCAGAGGAAGCCGTGGGTGGAAACTTCAGAGCCGTTAACTTCTTCACCAGAGAGATACGCACGTCGTCCGCAAAGGGGCCTTCCACCTCCTTCAACATCGGTTTCGGCATCGCCGGCTCCGACTGATGGCCTTTTGCTGCAGGATCGCGCTCCACATTGCCTGCCTTGACCGCTTGCTGAGCACCCTTCTTCGACTGACGCGGCATGGTGCGATGATGAGAGCTAAGAAGGCTGCAGATCATATGTCCTGAGTCACTCGAGCCTGAAGGAACTGAGAAGCCTGCTCTGAGCACAGAATCTTTATAGCCGCGTTGAAGTTGCCTTGACCTTGGTTTTCTCCTTGGTCTTTGCTGTCTGTAGAACCTGCCTCTAACTGAAGAAAATCCCTCGAAGTTTGTTGTGAGCGACGCGTTCGTCACGCAACCCTTGATATTAGCAATGTCTGTAACTGTCAACCTTGGTAAGCCCTTGTTTGTCCATAATCTTGAAGTTGCAAACGGATAAAACGGAGAGCCTGACGAAGAACACGAAGATGTAATTCTCGTCATTTGAGCACATTGAAAGTATCTTCGTAATCCTCTTACCATGTAGATTCCGAATCCGTAAGTTAACGAAGCAACTGATAAGAAATTGGTAGACATTGTGTTAGAGTGAGGATCTTGGATAAGATAGGAAGTGCTTTGGTAGAGTTGGTAGCGAAAGTCTTGTAAGAACTCAGATCATAGTGAATGTAAATGACCAAGTTTATTAAGAGATAGAATACAGGAATATAATTAGTCCTAATCTAGCCATGTACTCTAACGGGTACATTCCCTCATTATAACTGTTTTACAGGCATTTCTACAGTGACTCTGACTATTGCACTACCTTCTTGTTACCGAGTCGATGCATGTAACCTGTACGGTTACGCCTGTTGCCATTCCTCGATGGTAAGTCAGGCGTCGGTCCAGACGGTCAACAGTCGCGATAGTTGACTCTTGCGACTGTTGACCTTCCTGCCCTTGATACGGGCTGATCCGATACTACGGATGTTGCACCTACGGGAATGCTAAGTGTAATTCCCTTCACACTCCAACACTTGCCTTCATTCCTAGAGGTGCGCCACGTGGCTTTTGCGAGTCACTCCACACAGGTCCGAGCAGTACTGAAACTTCTGACGTGGCAGCTTCTTCGTGAGGAAATCAGCTGCCATTTCGCCAGTTGGACAGTAGATGAGGTGGACTTTCCCTTTGTCGATTTCGTCCTTCACGAAGAAGTAACCCAGGGCAATGTGTTTCGTGCGGCTGACGAAGCCTGGCTTGTTCGCGATTTTGATCGCACTCTAGTTGTCGCAGAGTAACTTAAAGGACCCGTTCATCGCCGTTTTCGTTTCCTGCAAAAGCTCCATGAGGTAGAGTCCTTCGCGAACTGCTGCGCTTGCTGCGATGAATTCTGCTTCTGCTGACGAGAGGGCGATGAGTTCCTGTTTGTTGGAGTTCCAAGAGATGGTTCCTGCAGGCTCAAGTTTGAAAATGAAGCCTGTGCGGGACCTCCTGTTGTCTGCGTCCCCATCGTGGTCAGCATCCACGTAGCCGGTGAGTTGTAGTGGCGCTGTTAAGTTGGCCTTGCAGGTGAGGCCGACATCAGGCGTAGAGATAAAGTACTGTAAAGCGTGGCGCACGTCTGCTAGGTCTCCCCTTCAGGTCGTCTCAGGTACTGGGCGAGCTGGCTGGCAATGTAGGATAAGTCCGGGTGGCATGTGACGGCGGCAAACAGTAGACATCCAAGCTGCTGCTGGTACAAGCGGTGATCGGCCGGTGAGAGCGGAGTAGTGTCGCGCTCGTGGTTAGGCGGAGGAATGCGGAACGGGGTGGTGACACCGACGGGAGCGATTTCGAACTTCTTAGCAAGGGTCTCAGCGTACTTTGCGACAGAGAGATGAATGGTATCCGCAGTCTGAGTGATATTGAGGGCGAGGAATTGAGTGACCTCATGGTCGATCGTGACCTCGAGCTTCTCTTGAATTTCGCGTTCGAAGCGATCGAGTAGGTCCGTGTCGTCGCCGGTGTAGAGGAGATCGTCGACGTAGGCGACGAGCAAGATGAAGTGGCCGCGAGATTCGAGGCGGTACATCCCCTGGTCGTGGGGAAGTTGCTGGAACCCGAGTTCGATGAGAACGCCGTGAAGATGCTGCTGCCACAAGCGTGGTGCCTGCTTGATCCCGTACAGGGACTTTTGGAGGAGACAAACAGCGTCTCCGTCTACTTCGAACGCATGCGGCTGCTCTACGTAGATGACGGCGTCGATGATTGCGTAGAGAAACGCGTTGGAGACGTTGATCTTGCGAAGTGGACGTTGTTTTACGGCGGCGATGCAGAGGAGAATGCGCACTGAGGTGTGTCGGCCGACAAGTGCGAATGTCTGGTTGTAGTCCACAAATTGTGTCTGTTCGAATCCGCGAACCACCCAGCGCGCCTTGAATTTCTCGACCGTTCCGTCCGCGAGAGTCTTTATGCGGAAGACCCACTTCCATGTAAGGATCTTTCTCCCCTTTGCGTGGCGGCGTGGTACCAACTTCCAGGTACCGAGACGTTGGAGTGCAGCGACTTCTGCGGCCATGGCGGCTCTCCACTCCTCAGCATCGGGCACGTTGAGAGCCTGGCGAACAGTGGTGGGCTCGACCAACTGCTGGTTACCCCGTACGGCGACAGCGAGGCCGAGGATGCGAAGGCCCGTGAGGTTGGTTTCGGCTGTGGTGGTTACTTTGACCACGTCGTCGTCGTCGCCAGGGATGTCGCGAAAGGTGTCGCGGGAGGAGTCGTGAGTGGAGTCTTCGTTCATGGGTGAGTGCATTTCTGCGCTTGCATAGTCGTGCTGTGCCTGTACTGCTTCATGAGGATCGATGTTTGTTGGGAAGTATGCAGGAGTGCCGAACTGCCCCGTAACGGGGATGAAGGGTGCCTCGTCTGCTGCTGGCTCGTCCGGTTGTTCTCCCGCCACGTCAATGTCGTCCTCGTCATTGGCAAAACTGTGCTGTCCTTGGAAGATGTTGTCTGGTGCGTTTTGTGCAGTGCGGTGCTGGCGGTACAGTGGCAGAGTTAGTCTTTCCTAGAAGATGCAGTCACGTGAACGCGTGAGCTGGTGGGTGGCGAATTCCAGGATTTCCGGTTCGGGCAGTGTGAGGGCTGTCAGAACTTATAGCTTACTTGTTTCTGTAGGCTATAGTGGGGTATCCCATTGGGGGTACAACCCAATTAGGGTTTCCTATTTGTACTCACTTCATTCATAGTCATTTCATTCTCGTTCTTTGTTTCCACATGGAATCAGAGCAGGTTCCCTCCTAGGGACTGCTTCTAGGGCCCACCGAACCGCGCCCCGAGGCGCGTTTTTTTTTAGCGACCCGTCGTGTCGCCCCTAGCGGACCGTTGCGCCGCCCTTCCCCTCGCGGCTCCGCCGCCCTTCCCTAGCGGCCCCGCCGCCCTTCGATCGCGGCCCCGCCGCCCTCTGCTACGCGGCCCCGCCGCCGCCCTTCGATCGCGGCCCCGCCGCCCTCGGCTACGCGGCCCCGCCGCCCTCTGCCTCGCGGCCCCGCCGCCCTCTGCTACGCGGCCCCGCCGCCCTCTGCTACGCGGCCCCGCCGCCCTCTGCTACGCGGCCCCGCCGCCCTTCGATCGCGGCCCCGCCGCCCTTTGCCACGCGGCCCCGCCGCCCTTCGATCGCGGCCCCGCCGCCCTTCGATCGCGGCCCCGCCGCCCTTTGCCACGCGGCCCCGCCGCCCTCTACTACGCGGCCCCGCCGCCCTCTGCTACGCGGCCCCGCCGCCCTTCGATCGCGGCCCCGCCGCCCTCTACTACGCGGCCTCGCCGCCCTCTGCTACGCGGCCCCGCCGCCCCCTGCTACGCGGCCCCGCCGCTCTCTTCGGTCGCGGCCCCGCCGCCCTCTACTACGCGGCCCCGCCGCCCTCTGCTACGCGGCCCCGCCGCCCTCTGCTACGCGGCCCCGCCGCTCTCTTCGGTCGCGGCCCCGCCGCCACTCTGCTACGCGGCCCCGCCGATCCGCCCAGCAGCAGCCGCCGCCGCCTGAGCCGCCGCCGAGCCGCCGCCGAGCCGTCGCCGAGCCGCCACCAAGCCGCCCCCGAGCCGCCGCCGAGCCGCCAGAGCCGCCGCCGAGCCGCCCGTGACGCCCGAGCCGCCCGCGCCGCCCAGCAGCAGCCGAGCCGCCGCCGAGCCGCCGCCGCCTGAGCCGCCGCCGAGCCGCCGCCGAGCCGCCGCCCGAGCCGCCGCCGAGCCGCCCGCGCCGCCCGAGCCGCCTGCGGAGCCGTGCTGCTGTTCCTCTGCTGCTGACCTACCCGCCTCTCCCAGCCCGGTGAGATTTTCAGCTGCTGTCATGGCCACCCCCAATGTTCTTACCTTTGACGCTGAGGGGAGGGCCATTGACTTTGCCGTCTGGATTGAAGACCTGCAGCTGTACTTACTGTGTGATGCGATAGATGAGGTCTCTCTCTTTGACTTTGTCTCTGGCGTTGTCCCTGCCCCACCTGCTGATGCTGACTCTGCCGTTCGCTCCAAGTGGGCGACCCGCGATGCTGCTGCACGTCTTGCTGTGCGTCGCCACCTCCCTTCCTCTTAGCGTGCCCACTTTAGTCAGTGCAAGACCGCTCAGGCCTTGTACGACGCTGTAGTTGCACGCTACTCCTCCCCTTCCTCCGCTACCCTTAGCCGCCTCATGCTACCGTTTCTCTTCCCTGACCTCGCTTCCTTTCCCACTGTCGCTGACCTCGTTACCCACCTCCGTGCTAGTGACACCCGCTACCGCGCTGCCCTTCCTGCAGAGTTCCGCGCTGCGAACCCTCCTCCCATGTACATCACTCTCTACTTTCTCGTCACCCGTCTCCCTGAGTCCCTTCGTGTCGTTAGGGACCAGTTTCTCTCTGTCTGTCCCACCACTCTCACTGTCGACCTCCTTGAGGAGTCCCTGCTAGCGGCTGAGAAGAGTATTGTCGCTGTAGGGGCCTCTCGGGGTGACCCTCGCACCCCCATCTTTGAGGGGTGTGGTCCTTCCCCCCTGCTGCCCTCTGTCGCCTCTGCCGCTGCGGCCGACCTCACTGGTTTTGAGTCGGTCGGCGCGGCGTCTGCCCCTAGCGGCAGACGCCGCGCTGGCAAGGGCAAGGGGGGCAGGGGAGCGGGTGGAGCTAGAGGGGGCGGTGGAGGAGGCGGTGGGGGTGGCGGGGGGAGTGGGGGTGGCGGTGGGGGTGGTGGCGGGA